TCTCCCACCTAAAATGGTTCCCTACTCACACTGTACAGCAGGGGTAGCCAAACTCCGGCCCTCCAGCTGTGGTAAAACTACAAATCCCATGATGCATCTCTCTCCTGTCTGTGGCTGTGAGAATCTTGCAATGCCTCATGGGATTTGTAGTTCCACCATAGCTGGAGGGCCGGAGTTTGGCTACCCCTGCTGTACAGTAACATGGCTCCCTTAACTCCACCCCCCAAGCTAAACCCACCTATCGCTACACTAGCTAGCCCTCTCTTCCCCCTTTTCAAACACAACAGAAAAAAACCCCTTCCATCCAACACTCACCTAACTCCTCCTTGTTCAGGTCTGACCTGCATCAGTCACATCCCTTCCTCCGCCTATCGCTCCGCAGGGGACTAACCTGAAAATTGTCTGTAACAACTGGGGGGCAGTCCATGAGACCATTTTGGACAATCTTTTTTATTGTTTGCTCCAAAGATTGCATTTGGTTGGCTAGTTGTGCTTTTTTCTAGAACAAGTGACACACAGACACCCTATTAGTTGTTCTACAGATTCTAACTGCTGAAAAATGACAGTTGAAAAGTGGGGTATAAATGGAGACTAGAACAGTATGTGCATTGCGTGCTGAATGCTTAAAAGGTAAAGGAAATAGACAGTCAGGTTTTTTACAGACGGTTTGCGGGAGCGTGACTGCTTGTATACAATACAATCCGAATGCAAAACAATATTAATATGCTGTATGTGGCAGCATAGTGGTTAGCACTTCAGTTCATATTCCGGTCAGGACACTATCTGCAAGGAGTCTCCCTGTGCTTGCGTGGGTTTTCCTCCGGGTACCCTGGTTTCCTTCCACACTCCAAAGACATGCTGGTAGGTTAAGTGGCTCCTCTCTAAATTGTGCCTGTATTTATGCATGTGAGATAGGGACCTTAGATTGTAAGCTCCTTGAGGGTAGGGACTGATGTGAATGTGCAGTATGTAAAGCACTGTGCAAATTGTCAGTGCTATATATATATCTTTAATAATAATGTTGTGCTCTCCCCTCCTGTCAGCATATTCACAGAGTGACAGTATTGTACAAAGAAATAAAGGCCCGGTTGTCTTAGGGTGCTACCCCCCATCCCCGTGTGGCTGTGCAGGGGTTTGCAGGAGGCTAATATCAGGACAAATTCTGGTACCTAATCTAACATGTTTTAAAATATCTGCAGTTAAGGTGGCCATACACTTTACAACCATCGCAAGACCTTAGTCTTGCGATGGTTGCAAAGTAATTAAAAAATCGTACGATCTGCCCATCTTGGACAGGCAGATCGTACTTGCGATCAGCGCAAGCCTGCCCCCCTGAGGGGAGGGCTTCCGATGACCGCAATGCTGAACAGGCAGTGTGCGCGTGCGCACACCGGCCCGTGTGGCATTGATCTTACGATCATGCTAAAAACCAGCCGAAAATCGTACGATTCTCGTACAGTACAGTAGAAACAGTCGCACGTCTTCATTCACACTGCACGATTCTTGTACGAACGCGGGATTTCCCGCGATTCTCGTACGAGAATCGTGCAGTGTATGGGCACCTTTACTTTGATTTATTTTCTTTTTACTTTTGTTCAGCACTATAGCACTATACTCAATTACTTGGCTGTTTTCCCCCCAGCATGTGTTTTAATGACACAGCTTGATGCAGCACTCTGAAAGGTCACAGTTCCACGTCTCGGCTAAATCTGAAATTCCAGAGCTATGATGGAATGAAAACAAGTGTGTCTTGTTCTTTCATACTGCAGTGACATAAACACCTGAGTGTGCTAATTGTTTCATGATGTCGTGCAAAATTCCAGCACCCGTCCTATATGGTCCTACTGATTAAATGCCTAATTTCTGATTTTTCAGGTGTTTTGCTCTGAAGAGTTATTAAAGCTAGCCATACACAGCCCGACTTTCTCTTATTCAGCCCGCAAACTGGAAGAGGGAAAAATAATGGATCCCCGCCATCCACTCCCCATTCACAACTTGAACACAGTCCAAAGAAAAACACAGCTCACCCCTAGTATATGCCTCACATCCCATTGATGGTGCACAGATCAGCCTTTCTTCTGAAGGCAGATAAGATACAATTAGACGATATTCTCGGCACTTCTATGACGAAGGCCATTTAAGGCAGAAACGCGGTTGCAACTAGTTTTTATGCTTGTGAAATAAAGGCTTATGAGTGCCAGGAATAGCTTGTAATTGTCCATTCACACTTCAGTGTGACAATTTTCTGGTGATTTTGATTGTTTTTTGCATGTTTCTCAGGCATTTTCAGTTTGGTTTTTTAAGCCATTCAAAAGCTAGTTACTATTAGGAGGGGATGGTGTTTAGGTACAAAATTAGGCATTTTTCAAGTGCTTCCATTGAGGCCTATGGGGCTAAAAATGTGTGATTCTGCCTTAAAAAAAACTCATACTTTTTTGAGCAGGTGTGAACGGCATTGTAGAATGTGCCTTTGATGGTCCTCATTTGCGTAACAAACAGACACGTGCTGATTCAGTTCAAGATATCAAGGAACACCTTTGCATAAAAGCTGTATCATAGATGTCAATTTTATCGGTTCCAACAGGCATCATTGAAAATGGGGTTCTTCATATTGAGTGTTATCACACTTGGGAAATGCATGACAATACACTGAAGGGCTAATGGGGGGGGTAAACAGCAGGGATGGAGAAATCTCCACTATTGGCCATTATATTCAGCAGCTGCAACACCTCAAGTACAGTGCTACCGCTGACAGGATGCAGTCACTGTTCGGCACATAATGTTCCACCCGGCTCAGTTGATTTTTAAATGGACTTTCGTCAAGCCATGTGATGCTTGTAGGAATCAATTCAGCAGGAATCAGCCAAAATATGAACCGCCAATGACTAGCCTAAAGTTGGCCATACGTTGTAATATTTTCTTCGTTCAACCTGTGGGGTGAACAAAGAAAATATGAAAGATTCCACTATCAGCACTTATGAATGCTGCTGGCTGCTGTTAGAATACCCCAACAGAGTTTGCAGCTCATTTGAAGATTTTCTGACCGGCTTCTTTGATCAGCTGATTGAGCGAATTGGCACAGTGTATGGCCAGCTTTAGCCTATGTTCACATTGTTTTTATATTTACTGCATACTCATGTTTTACACTGGTTGGCTTATTTACATTTACATTGTTTTCATCAAGCTGTTAGCAGGCTTCAGCATGTTTTTTTACAAGCTTCATGTAGTGCTGAAGCCTACAAGTAGCTTGTTTAAAATGACAGTCAACACTGGAGCTGAAGGGTACTTTAAGGGCATTTTCTGGACCAGATCTGGAATACAGTGCATTGCGTTTTTACCGCGTTTGGATTTATTTTTGCTTAACATAGTCTTACAGTTGCGTTCCAGTGCATTTTTGATGCGTTTTATGCGTTCCAGTGCATTCCAGACCAGACAAAATAGGACAAGCAGTATTTTTCTGGTCTGGTCTGGAACGGACTGCGCTGGTGTGAACAGAGGCCAGGAATAGCATAGGGCTACATTTGGATGCATTTTGGGCCCGGAAACAATCTAGTCTGGTCTGGAGATGATCCGGACATGGTGTGAATGGGCCCTCAACATACCTATCAACTGTCCTTCATCTAGAGGGTCTATCTCTCTTTTTAAACCAAATCCCTCTGTCCCTCTTTCCTCCTCAGATGTCCCTCTTTTTAGTCTGATGTATAGACCTCTATAAAAAAAAACAACAATTTTTTTACCTACCAGATATGTTATATTGCACTAAACCTTCATCCAACCTTTATATGATTGCATTTGTTATTTTGAAAACCAATTAATAAGAAAATGTAGTGTTTAAAAAAAACACTTGTGGATTTAACCAATCATTTGTTGTGCATTAACTCTTCATGGCCTATGAAACTGGGGGTGAGACAGTAGCCTGTCATTCGTCTACATTACACAATACATTGTGCTATATAAGGTGTCCCTCTATCTCATCTCAGAAAGTTGGAAGGTATGCAGAGGCATCAGCAAAACCTAAGGGCCGGTTCACACCACAAACTCTGCATTCCAGAGCGTTCGGCCTCTGGAACGCACGTCGGCTGGCTCCCTGCGTTCAGGGGAGCAAGGTGGTGCATTGAAGTCAATGGCACCACAGCCAAGGCCCCCGCCCTCAGTGCAATCGCCTGAGCGTGTGGCACATTAGTGCCTGTGTCCTGGTCCAGTGCAATCTACAGAAATGCTGCAAGCACTATTTTTGCAGATCACACTGTACTGGAACGCAGGCACTAATGTGCCACGCGTTCAGGCGCGGGCGATCGCACTGCGGACAGTGGGCGTGGCTAGGGTTGCCACCTGTCCTGGATTCACCTGGACAGTCCGGGTTTTGAGTCTTGTATGTGCTGTTTCCAGGTTTCAGGCCAGCTGAAACCCAGACACAGTACATACAGGACTCAAAACCCGGACTGTCCAGGTGAATCCGGGGCAGGTAGCAAGCCTAGGCGTGGCTGTGGTGCAATTGACTTCAAAATGTGTTGCTCACATTGCTCTTAGACAAGTTAAAACCTGTGTAAACTAGGCCCATCCAGCACTAAATCATAGACAGAGGTTCTAATCCTTCGCCTCTTTCTCCAAAACACACACAAAATGTATTGACTGATATATTTTAAAGGTTTCCTTTAACTGGACCAAATCTAAATTAGAAAGTAGCAGGCAGAGTGTCAGCAGTTATGTATGTAGCAGCCACATGCGTGACACACGGAAAGCCTCGCTGCCTGTGCTTTATGCAGCAGATGGAGATTAGCCGTGGCCTGGAGAGATACACACCTGTGCTTTGAATAGGTTGTTTGGGTGCAGTGTTTGAGGAAGAGGAAAAATGTAATACATCCACCTGGCCTATTGTTCTAGCAGCACACAAATCAAAACGGACAACCTCATTTGACTACAGCAGCTCGATATGTTTCCTTTTTTTTATGGTAACACGATCATTTTATGACCTTTCATTCTCATGTTTTTCTCTACAGTTGCAGAAATGATGGAGCTCAGCCTCACAAACGTGCCCCTTTATGTAAGTACATATAATATCTTGAAATATCCTGATATTCTTTATAAAAACTGAACTTGTGAATACATGACTGAAAAATATATGTAGGAAAATGAATGTTTCACATCTGAGCCAGAGATGTATTGGTGACTCCTGTCATAAGAGAAATAGGGGGCTGCCATTGCTGCTTTCCTGCTGAAAATGCTAGTTGACTGGCTGTTATTCTTATCCACTGCTTTAATAAATCCTTAGATAATCTGCTTTAAAGTGACACTAAACTCTGGAGTTAAATCTTAAAAATGCATTCACGTACCTTAACCGTGGCCTATTTGTGTATCACTCGGCTGTAGATCCTCAAATCACCTCTGAATTGGTGCTGACACTGTCCTTCCTTCTGGAGGGTGGCTACTTTTGTTCCCCATGGTCCCTGTGTGTGTAGTAAAGTAGCCACCGCTCAAAGCGCGCTCCAGCGATGGACTACAATCTCAATACAAATGAGTAAACTAAACATGAGATTGTAGTCCATCACAGGAGTGGGCTTGAATTCGATGGCTACTCTACAACACACACGCAGGGACCATGGGGAACAAAAGTAGTCACCCTCCAGAAGGTAGGACAGTGTCAGCACCAATTCAGAGATGATTTGAGGCTCTACAGCTGAGTGATACACACAGAAGATACATTTGTGTTAATAGTTGAGGTACTTGAATACATTTTAGGATTTAATTCCCGATTTTACTGTCACTTTAATTTGTTAAGGCAGAAAAAAATGTGCAGGTTAAAAGTTCTTACCTACATTCTTGTTTTGGGTCCGTTTGACTATTGAATCAAGCTTGTCAGCATGACAGTCGGGGATCTAGTATTTTCAAAAGGAGAGGCTCAGCAATGGCAGCCATCTTTCTCTCTTGTCCGGTTCCTTTAACGTCTCTCAGATATTAAGATATGTATACACAGATCCGGTATATGGTTCTTTCTCCTGCTGAGACCTGAAGGTAGTGACAGCTGTTCCTGCTTCAATGATCACTTCATACTCTGTCAGTTTGCAATGCTTTGTATAATGTGACAGTGCAACAGCCTGTAGATCTGAGGCTTGTCTTAAGTCCCCGTTAATATAGGTTCATTGTAGCAGCATGCATGAAGATTTGTGTTTTTTTGTGCATGTTGTTGCAGCGAGCCAAGATGTGTGTTACTTTGTAAACACTGCATTGCCATGTATTGTTAATGGCTCCTCAACGCCCTTTACTACACTATGTGCTTTCATGTGCATGAAATCACTCCAAAATGCATGGTACTTTGTTTTGAAAACAAGCTTTTGTGATGCAATTGTTGTGTATAGGGCAGACCACTGAAACGAATGGGCAGCACAAAAACATGCATACACGTCTCCACGCTGTCCCACATATGTAAATGGGAGCTCAGATTTGATGGTAGCCAGCTGCAAGAAGGCTTGATAGTAAGGGCCCATTCACACCATAGAGTTGCTTAACTTGCACAATACTGTGCATGTATTCATTTTCTCACCCTACTGCATGGGTATTGCAGTACCATGTGGCCAGGAGTTGCGTTAGGGTGCTATTGAAATGAATAGCAACACATTTAGCACACGGTTATGTACACTAGATGTGCTGTGTGATAGCTGTGCGATAGCTACCCCCTGCACTGCTGTTACAGGTTAAATATATTTATGCCCAGTGCAATTCTTTTAAATGACTAAAGTTCAAAACTGGAGAAAGTGTTGAAAAGATGGCAAATCAATAGATCAATTTCTGGGTGCTGTGGTCGTGTGCTGTAACACAGGTACTTTCAGGTGCCATGTACATGAAATGGTACTGCAACATGCCAACGTGTGCACGCGACACTGTGTTGAAACGTGCACATTTTACCATGTTACTCCAAAACGCTAGTGTAAATGAGCCCTAAAAGTTGTCCACTGTCTGTGGGTAGGCAGGCCACATTTGAAAGCTTGGACCCCATTTTGAAAGGTTATTAGACCATGATTAAAAAGTGATATTTGAATGTTTTGGGGGATGTTTTAGACATAATGGAAAAGAAATTATTATAAGTTGCAGTATGGCTTGTGTAGCTATTTTATTATGTGTTAGTTTTGTTTTCATGAAATTGAAGTTTTTTGTCAATAGTTTTTAAAGTGAAGTTTTTTTGTTTAGTAGTTTTAGTGCAGGTGCAAGTATGTGAAAATTATTCTACATCAGTAGAAGAGAATGTATCTTCTTAATGTTGTAGGAGAATACAAAAGCATTCATGAAAGACAAAAGCCCAAATAAAGTGAATTGCCATGACCCGGGAAAGTTCCAGTCTTTGAATATCTGATTCAGGTTCCTGCTTTCTAATGTTTCATGTAATTGGTTGAAGAAATGATTGCTGTCACAACTTACTAAATGGCTTTTTCAATGAATACAAATTGCACAGAGCGCATTCTAAATGTTCAAAAGGGTTCACCTTCATCAGAGACCTTTAACTCATCAGCTCTATTGAAAGTAACTCTGTGTTTCACTGAAACTCATGAGGAGATTTTGTAGGTTAAAACCAATGTATTAAAGCTGAACTCCAGACATACAATACAACCTACAGACTTGCGATAGTTGGAGTGGTTTTAAAGCCTGCTTATTATGTTAAGATACAAATATAAATAGCTGTTTTTATTATTACAGAGTGTCTCCTGTGAGAATCATTTGTGACACTAGCTGCTTAGGCTGCATTCATACCTATGGTTTAGGTGCAATTGGTATATTCCCAATTACGATGATTGATTCCTAACTGCATGTAATCGTATCAGATACGAGTACGTGCGGAGTGCCAGCGTTCTGCTGCTTTCAAATGCAGCCGCTGTCATCTGATTATTTACTTTAAAAGGGTGACCACTGCCTCTTGTAAATAGAATATTTGGAATTCCTGCTGCAGGAAATCGCAAGTTCCTTATGCAGAAATACCAAATCACACCTAAATCATAGGTGTGAATGGAGCCTTAAAATTTTTTTTAATGAAGTTTCCAGACATCAACTGTAGCATCTAGAGCCAGAGCAGTGCCCATCCCCTCCCCTGTCTGTCTCTCCATCTCCATAGGAGACTCTCTCTGTTACCCCTACCCTTTGTTGGAGACCGTCTGTTTGGCTCTTTGCTAGAGGAAATCATTAACAGGGCTATTCACTAAAGGGTAAAATGTTTGCAGAAGGCAGGATGAGTGAACAATCTAGGCCAAAATAGCTGATTTGGAAACATTCTCCAATTCAGCTCACTTTCCAGTTCAGTTATGTTGTCCTAGATTATTCACTTCTCCTGCCTTCTCCAAACTCTTCACCCTTTTGTGAATAACCCTGTAAAATGTGACGGTGGTAAGAGTGCTCACTTACCTCAACAATGTAAATATAAGGATTAGCGACACAGGTTGATTCCTTACTATCCTGCATCAAAGCATTCTTTTGTTCCTTCAGGTCAGGTTTCACTTGTCAGAACCATAAGACTTCTTCCACTGCCTTGGGTTCAGGGGGTTCTAAACACCTTTTGGCAATCTGAGGTATCCAAACCTGCGGATAGGTCGGCCACTGCTTGAAGGGCTACCTCCACCGGTTCCATCAGAGCTGGTGGATGTCTGAAGGCTTTTGTGAAGATTTGGGAAGCATATCTAGCGCATGGCTGCAGGAGTTAGTATTGAAGGGTTATAAAATAGACTTTCACCTCCATCACCACTTCCAATTCTTTGCTTTGTGTCTTTACAATGCAGCCTTTGGAAGATTTCAGATAGATCCTGAAAATTGAGAAATCATCCCTGATTTTGTCTCATTGATTGGGGTACCTGGGCCTTCTCCTGGATACCTTTTCAGGCTAAGGTTTTCCTGCCTAAACTACACTACAAACTACAAAATAAGGCTTAGCAGCCTCCGACATCAGTTTTCTTTTCAGTGCAGAATGTAATTTCTCAGATTCAGGGTATCCACCTCTGAAGTGGTTTCATTTTGCCTAATTGCACTCAAGAACCTTACAAAGGAGCAACCTCATATTGTGGGAAAAATCAAGTCTTTCTCTAGAGAGGATGATCAGGTTACATCTTTGATGATGCCATTCTTCTGAGTTGGGGCAAAGTTTTCGGTCCTCTCTCTGTTCAGGGTTGTTGATCTTATGAAGCATGAAAGCTTTCAATCAACATCATAGAGTTACAAGTGTCTTGTCATTACTTCACTGGATCCCCCTTGTGAGCGTTCATTCAGTCCTAGTTGAATCGGACGTTGTCACACCTCTGGCATACATCACTCATCAGGGGGCTTCACAAGGTGGTGGCAACAATAATAGAATCTATCCTTGGTGGAGCTTCACGTTTCAGTAGTTTCCATGGTCTCATTCCCTGGGTGAAAAACTGGCAGGTACATTTTCTGAGCAATGTCTAGACCTGGGAAATTGGTTCCTCTATCTGGAGGTGTTTTTAGGACATATATCTACATTGGGGGACACTGGATGTGGAATTATTAGTGTCTTGGTTCAACAAAAAGTTGAATAATTTGTTTCCGAACAGCAGATTCAGTAGATGCCCTTGCTGTGCTGTGGGATAAGCATACCCTGATTTATGTATTTCCTCCACTGAAACTTTTACCTCGTCTGCTTTGAAGGATCAAGGCCAATAGCATTCCAGTCATACTTATAGCTACGAATTGGCCCTGGAGAGTGTGAGACCTCATTAATCTGTTAGCTGATGCCCTGTGACCTCTACCACATCAGAAATATCTTCATATCTGTTATATGAAGGACTGATCATTCACCCTTGGCAGTATTAGGCCACATTTACATGTGCAAACAGGGCTGGATCACTGAGTCACACAAATTCCTATGTAAGACCCGTGTGATCTGCTGAAGGCAGGAGGTGCCGTATAATTCAATAACGGCTGCCAACGCATGCAGCTGTTCCCATGTAATCATACAGACCATTACCTGTGGACAACAGCACCCGGATGCAGACAGTCTGCGTCTGGGTGTGATCGTCCACAGGTAATCACAGCCTATGCTCTAAAAGAGATTCTCCAGATTTCAGATCCACTAATTGCAAGTGGATATGTTCGGTTGTTGTGCAGACCGTTTGAGTTGCGAGATAATGTGCCTCCTTTTCCCGTTAAAGCCTATTTCACTAGGCAGTGGGTGTTCCTAGGGCTTTTCATCACCAGGCCTCGGTGTCACAGATTTGTAACACTAATTCTATCAGGAATTTTACCAGCACACCAAAAAAGTCATTTTAATGGTCAATGTTCATTTATTCAGAACCGTGTCAAGTTTAAACGAGCACTTTTGAGACCACGCAGGGTCCCTTCATCAGGCTTGGCATTGGCATTCACTCACCACAATGATATGCAGAGTTATAGTGGTTGTCAGCACTATTCCACTAATACTGTGTATTTTATTGTTCAACAAGAATCAATTGTATCAGCAACCACGTTTTGTGTCTACATGGCCTTAGCTAAATTCCTTGACTAAGCTGACTTAGCTTGTCTGTGGCTGCTCTGGGTGCCAGCTTTAAACAATGGAGTATTGGAAACTTGCCGTTCCCTGGACACATAGATCAATTGTTTTATTTGTTTTGCCCAGCCTTTAGCTTTACATCTGAACTTAAGGCAAATCTAAAAAGTAAATGTAAGCTTGCATTTATAAAAAAAAGTAATTTAGGCTGACTTTTTAAGAATATGCATTTTGATATGAGAAAGGAGGTGACCAAGCTTTACTGCTTAACTACAGTGGAGAAAAGTCAGACCACTAACCTGGCTGCAGTGTCTGGCAGGGCTGTGTAATGACCTAGATGAATTGGTGCATTGGCAGTCCTTCTGTTTGAATGGGCTGCCCTAAAGAAACACACGTTAACATGCAACTTAACGCCATGCTTGGGAGGGGAAAAGTCTGAATAGTTTTTAATAGTATCCAACCATGGCGCAAGGGAATCCCCATGCTGGGATATTTTGTTGGAAAGAGCAATAAATATGCTCACATGTTACAATGTCTGCACAGTCTAGCAGCAGCTATTTACCAAATATTTTAAATGGTTGAAACTCATTTTTGTTGTTTTTGTTTATTTGTACATGCCAGTGACGTACTCCAGTCTTCTTAGCCATGCAAGTGTCTATGAGATATTATGTGCTTGAATTCTTCAGCTGCTGACTTATGTACAGTCCCGTGAATGATGCTGCTTGTTGCAATGTTCCACTGACAACCACTGTTTGTTGGGGATAGAATGATGCTGCTGTATGTGAACTCATTCCAGCTTACTACACAGTTTAATATATATGTGATATGAGAAGGCTGAAGAGAGAAAAAACACTCCTGTTTACTGTCAAAAATGTAAAAATTATATTTGTTTTTTGATGAATGCAGTTTAAACTGTCATGATCATTTGTAAAAGTTTCCAATGACCCTACCTAAATGAAAGTTGCTTGTTTCACTAAGGGCTTGTTCACACCAAATACAGACCAGATCTGCATGGGTTTCTGCACACTCAGTGCAGTGGGTTGTGCCACGTTTTTGCCACGTTTGTTGCTGCGTTCCAGGCCGTTTTTTGTTTTCATGCGTTTTTGATGCGTTTGCATGCGTTCCAGAGCGTTCCTGAGCAGGTAAAATAGGGCTTGCTGCATTTTTTTTACATGCTCTGAAACTGAACGCTGCGGTGTGAACTAGAGCCAAAATACCATTGGAATACATTGGACGCAGTTTTGATCCGGTCTGTAACTGCTCTGCTCCTGGAACGCGCTTGGTGTGAACAAGGCCTTAAGGTGGCCATACACTTTACAACCATCGCAAGACCTTAGTCTTGCGATGGTTGTAAAGTAATTAAAAAAACGTACGATCTGCTCATCTTGGACAGGCAGATTGTACTCTCGATCATCGCAAGCCCGCCCCCCCTGAGGGGCGGGCTTCTGATGACTGCAATGCTGAACGGGCAGTGTGCGCACACCATTTGTCTCCCGAGCACCGTTCAAACCAGCCGAAAATCGTAAGATTTTCGGCTGGTTTTCTAGTGTGCTCCCTAGACAAAAGACGTGCGACCGTACAGTACAAACGGTCGCACGTCTTCATTCACACTGCTCGATTCTCGTACGATTGCGGGATTTCTCGCGATTCTCGTACGAGAATCGAGCAGTGTATGGACACCTTTAGAACCGTATTTCGAAAGCTATATATCTGACAATCAGCAAACGTTCACTGCAGGTGAAGCGTCCTGGTACATGTGTCTGTGAAGGTTCTCATTCATCCAGGTCATGGTATAGCTGTAGAAAAAAAGTCAAGGCAACTGGACTTGCTGTATTTTTGTTAGAGACGTTTCACTGGTCTGATGTCCAGTGAAACGTCTTCAAAAAAAATACAGCCAGTCCAGTTGCCTTGACTTGTTTCTACAGATATTCCTGGTGCATGTGTTTTAAATGAGTGGTGATTCACCACCAGTGAATGTTTGGTGAAAGTAACTGCTGTTTTATAAATGTGCCTCTTGGTGTTTAGAGATCACATGACTTATTCCAAAGAATGATTAATGAGTAATCAGATATCACACGACAGTCTGACAGTGTACAGTCCTGGACTGTAGAGACTCTTTTTTTTTTTTTTGTGTGTGGCTGCAGAGTCACCAATTATCGCAAGACAAAAGTCTTGCGATGGTCGTAAGGTGTATGGGCACCTTTAGACTTTCAGACCTGTCCTGGAAAACAGCTGGAGAACTACTTTAATTGGTGGCTTTGCTGCATTATTTAAAAGCTCTTAAAGAGAGTTGAATATTAAAAAACACATTCAAGTACTTTAACTATTGACAAAAATTATGTGATTATTTGTGTATCACTCGGCTGTAGATCCTCAAATCATCTCTGAATTGGTGCTGACACTGTCCTTCCTTCTGGAGGGGGGCTACTTTTGTTGTCCATGGTCCCTGTGTGTTTTGTAAAGTAGTCACCGCTCCAAGTTCACTCCTGCGATTGACTACAAGCTCAATACAAATTTGTAAACTAAATGGGAGATTGTAGTCCATCACAGGAGTGAACTTGGAGCGATCATATGGATGGTCAAAGCAGTTTGATCCCAGTCAACAGATTTGCTTTGGTTTTTTTTCCATTGAATAAACCATGAATGAATTGTTGTTTTTTAAAAGCATGTATGATTTATTAGAAGAAGTAGAAGATAATTATGACTTATCCTCTCTTCCCCCTCTGTGTTTTCTAGGGTCAAATAACGGTATATGCAAAGTTTGCTGAAGACCTCCACCTGCCAGAAGATGCAGAATTCTATTTGGTTTACAATGGATCCAGTCACAGACATGTTATGTTCGCAGAGCGTCTCAGTGCAAATTCTTTGTGCTCCATCCTTCCAGGTCAGAAACTTTCGTTCTTAGTTCTGATTTTGACAACCACATTGTTGACTCTCTGCCATTTTTAATTGATATTTCCATGCTGTTATTGGTGTTAAAATTAAAGTGACATTAAAGTAAAAAAGAAATTTCCCTCCCCCCTTGGTTAATGTCAGCACTTACATTATCTTTCTTATTCCGATCTTCTTCTTTCCTGTCGTTTTCATCTGTCCCTCCAGCGCTGTGGCGAGTCTCCGATCCAGCGCTGACTCCTCTGTCCTTGCTGGCACTTCCTGTCCCACGGTGTCCGCATGCGGGTGCACGCATCCATAGACTTACCTTGTGTCTCTCCTCGCATCCCGGCCGAAAATCCGAACTGCGCATGCGCCCGCCCCAAGATGCTTTGCGGCCGCCCGAGAATTTTTACATTTTCGGACGGGAGCGCGCGGGAAAGACACAGGTAAGGTTAAACCGCTTTTAAAGCGGTTTTTTTTTTTTAAGGCTGGTCCTGATTAAAATTTTCGTGTTCGATTTAATAAAAATGTTTTTTAACATTTACAACATTTATGATTTAATTTCGATTGATTATAACGCACATACAAATCCAACTACATTGGCCTATACACATACAGCACAGCAATGAAGTAATTAAAAATAAACTAGGATCACACTAATCCAGCACGTTATTAATCTCACGTGCCCCACTCAATATGGCCGCCGCTTGAGTGGGGCAACTCAGAATAATAATGTTCTGGATTTGTGTGATCCTAGTTCATTTTTTATTACTTCATTGCTGTGCTGTATTTGTATAGGCCAATGCCTTGGCTGGCACTCGTGCAGAAAGTTGTTGGGCAAACTCAGCGGCCCAAGTGGCTCCGTCGGCTAACGAAGGGAAGGGGAGGAGTCCGATGACGTCACGGACATCGACGTCACCGGACTCCAATAATAATACTTTGTAATTTAAATATAATTGTTATAATAAATTATAATATTATATAATAAAGTATAATAATACTCAGTAGTAATACTTTAGTACCAGCCAGTGCGTTTCAGGGGCCACCCCCTATCAGGGCTTAAAGATAGGAAAATCTTACATGGACTCGGGGATGCTCTTTAACAAAACAATCTGCATTTAAATGTGTAATAGGAATGCAAAATAAACAATCGGTGGTTTCGTTTGTGTTAGCAGCATTGTGCTGAAGCCCCCCTCAAATTTGTTTTCTTTGTACAGAGCTGATGTTTTACAGAGAAATATAACAAGAGCGAGGGGAGTTAAATATAATTAAAATGTTATCTCTCTGTATGCAGCACGAAGGATTACTATTTAAAAAAAGCATACAATTATTATAACTAGTTTCAGTAAACAAAATTTAAAATGTATGTTACTCAAACTTGTGAGCAGCAGGGAGTATTTACCTGTATGGGCAATGGAATGAAATGGCTGTTGGGTATAGTGGGAAATGCAAGTGGAAAGCCGGGCAAACTCACCGGCCCAAGTGGCTCCGTCGGCTAAGGAAGAGAAGGGGACATCAACGTCACCGGACTCCTTCCCCCTTCCCTTCGTTAGCCACCACGGACATCGACGTCACCGGACTCCTCCCCCCTTCCCTTCGTTAGCCGACGGAGCCACTTGGGGAAGGGGGGAGGATTCCGGTGACGTCGATGTCCGTGACATCACCGGATCTCCGACGGGACTCCCGAAGAGGTGAGTGTTTTCATTAGCGATCAAAAGAATTTTAATCGATCAAAAAGTTTAACGAGAAATCAAGAAATTAATCGTTAATTTCCGCAGCCCTATTTCTTTTTACACTTTTTGCATAGATCTACTGCTTGCTAGCAGTAGTTGGGGGCTTTAATTGTACTTTAAGCACAGATGGAAAAAATATGAATGTTTCTATCTGTGGGTTTTAGCTGTGTTGCATTAAGGGTACATTTTACATGTGTTTTACATGCTGAAATTGCTCTTTTATGCAAATTGCTACACTGAATGTTAAATTTGTATTTGAGAACGTCTCTTACTGCATTCCAGACTTTGCTATTGAGGCTACCCTTCACAGCTACGAACCAGTAGTAAGGGCGAGGAGAAATTCAAAGATCTGAAGTTGCTTTTTTTTAAATTATAGAGTGCTTTCTTGTATATTCAGGCCCCACTAGTAGTTTGCATAGAGATAAAATCATATTCTCTTCAGAATACAATTAAGGCCCTATTCACGCCTATGCAGGTTTGCCCCTGTACGTTTTCCATTAAAATCAAAAAAAGCTCTTTAAAACTTATGCTCTCATATGTTTTTAATGCACGGCAAAACCCTGTGTATGGAATGTTGGTTTTGGTCATAATGCACATCGGTGTGTGTTATGATCCATGTTAAAATCGTATTAAGCTCTTTAACGTTTTTCAAAAATGAATCCAGATCGAACAAATATACATTGCCCAACAAAGTATTTGTTCACATTTTTGCTCCTACACTTTACAGTCATCATGTTTTCAAACAACTCCAATTCACTCACCTCAGCTTCCCTGAACTTCCTGTTCAGTACAAGATCTCCAGGGTGAGCACAGTCTCAAACAGCTGTCCATTTACTAGCTTAAAGAAGGGAAGAGGGTGGGAGGAGATGGGAGCAAGAAGGATGGGAGTGGATTGCCTTGCAGTGTCTCTGTGTTTGTATACACACACAGCTTACAAGGGAAATGAGCCACCCTGAAACAGCATATTGGGGCCAGTGCTCAGAGGACCAACTGATTCTGCAGGAAACTAAAACTTTACATCAAAAGGCAACATCTATTAGAAGTGATTTAATCAGCATTTGAAATAGCTTAAACATTTAATATCACTATAAGGCATGTGTTGATAAGAAAAATGCATAGACCATAAGGGCCTGGTAACACCATTGCACTGCAGTATTGCACGTTGTGCATGTTGCTGTGTTGTAGTGCCAGATGAGCTGTAACATGCGAATAGAGACCCTGACCAACCCTGGAAACAGTCAGTTTTCATCCAGGTATGGTATGGTGCTGGCCACACACAGCTGCAACTAATCAGACATGTGCTGGGCCCAAAGGCAGTGTTTAGTCGCCTCTCAATGCAGTAGCCTACCCTCCCTCGTTTGCTTGTCTGAATGAGACCTAAACTTACTGCTGCCAGTGGTAGATTATAGCAAGCAATATGAGGAATTTACTAAATGAATCACGGTTAATGTGAATTATTTAACCCCTTCATGACTGAGCTTGTTTTAGGTTTCCGTTCATTAATGACTGAAGCACTTTTTACATTTTTGCTGTGTGATTCTTCCACAGAAGTAATATACTTTCTTACTAAGTGCACCTACACATATTATATAACGTTTTTTAGAAGACAGATGAGGCTAAATATTTATTTCACACGTGTGCCTAATGCCTCACTTAGGACAAATAAAATGTTAAAGTTTAGGAAAAAAACACTTTTCCCCCTGTTTTGATTTATTATAATTTTCTTGAAAAATAGCACAGCTAAAAAATGCATTAAATAAAACTCATGTATTTGTCCTTTATTTGGAAACCCCTCACATCCCTAGGATTTTAGACAATTTTCTATACTTCTCTTCTGTACTTTTTTTTTTTCCTCTAAAAGCTAATAGTGGTCACCTGGCATACAATGTCACTGTCACAAAGTGTCACACTTCGTGACCGACATACTTTGAACATCATTGTCATGAGGGCGTTAAATAAAAAAATTAACCCTTAGGGTAAAAAACAAATCTGCAGCTCAGCTGCAGATTTTCATTGTAAGGGGTTAATTTTTATAATAAAGATAGTAAAAATATATATTTATATCATTTTTATTTGTTACATTTATTTTTATTTTTGTACACTTTTCTACTATTTTAAAAAAAACAAACTTTTTTACACTTTTATTTTTAATTATATAAGCAGTCATTGTGAATGAATCTCACTATAACTGCTTGATAATTTAATTCATGTTTGGTTATTAATAGGCTGCTTCAAACTTAGAAACAACCAATAATAACCTTCGTTAAACTGATCCTGACAGTATGTTAGGATCGGTGTCACTAAAGACATCTGATTGTTCCCAGAATGGTTAGAAGCTTGGAACATTGTTTCAGCAAAAGAAACATGTAGCTAAATTTTTCTTTTGCTGAAACTTTAGAAGAAAGCCGGTATACATCGGGATTTCCTAGTTCCGGTCTATACCAGTTGTCAAACAGTGACAGCAGGAGCAGTAAATACCGCACTTCTATCACTGTCAGGCACCCAATCCCTAAAATGCATCAGTTGGCTGTTAAGGCTTAACCCTTTCATTAAAGGATGCCTCAATACTGAGGCATCCATTAGTGAATGGTAACTGCTGATTCTCAGTGGTTCCCGACATTCGACAGCCCCCAATAGCTGATCGTGTACAGAGTACGTGATCAGTCATTTGGGCACTTAGTGGCAGGGACGTACATTCACTAAGGCCTCATTCACACGAGAAAAGGCCGGCGCGTACAGCTCTGTGCTCCGTGCACGGCTGTGTCGGGCAGCTCCTGTGAAGGAAAGGGGCTGCGTGTGATTAGTATGCAGCCCCTGTCCTTCTTAATGGGAGTATGTGGCCATACACCACCACGGACGTGCAGGGCGGGTGAGTGTAGGGCGGCGTATGGCTGCATACTCCCATAAAGGACAGGCTGCGTACTAATCACACGCAGCACCTGACCTTCCCGGGAGTTGCCAGATACGGCCGTACATGCAGTACGGAGCTCTACGTGCTGGCCTTTTCTCGTGTGAATGAGGCCTAAGAGGTTAAAGGATAATTTCACCCAAAAGTGATCTTCAGTTATAGGTAGTTGCAGGTAACTCTCTGGTGCATTGCCCATCTGCCACCAGGCATTATGTGGGCTCTCGTATTATTTAACATTTTTTTCCTTATAGCGAATGTGACTCCCCCTGCTGCAGCAGGAGGAATGGAAGGGAAGTAGCAGAGAACTCCAGTAGGGAGAGTTGGTAACAGGAAAAGAGAAAATCCATTCAGTGATTACAATCACCAAACTCTAAAATTAAAATCTCAGTCTTGTGTAAGACCCCAAAAATGTACCTGTATTGCAAATGGGTTTCTAACATTTATTGTAATGAGCTCCCTGCAATATAATGTATTCTCATATAGAAGTAAAATAAGAACTATGAAAGTAATTTATTTTGTTTCTCTATTTTCCAGGACATAACTGCCCAGAGTCCTTAACTGTGGCTGTATGTATGCACACTGAAGGCTATTCTCCAGTTATTGTGGCTTGCACAACTGTAGACTATGTGATGGATAAAGCTTGCAGTATTTCCCACTTTCTGAAAAGCAGCAGGGACACCTTAACTCCCTGCAGTCACGAGGCAATTCTAGATCAGTTTGATGTAAATCTCAAGGACTTGCAGTTACTAGACCGTAATATGATGCTGTGCTTAGCACATGAGGATGTGACAACTTCTTGGAATCTTCTTGGATCCCTTTCTGAAAAAGGTAAGATTTATAATGACATATTTGTGGACATTTTATCCAGTGGTGGTTTGAAGTGTGACCTATACTTTCAATGAACATTATTACCTGTATGAAGATAAATCTTGCTTCCAACCAGCATAGTCTGGTCCTGTCTTTGCATATGAGTGACACTCAAGTATAGGGGCAACTGACAAGGGAAAAATAAATAAGGTTAACCTAAATAGGTTCTTCTTCACTGCAGTACCACTCATCCACCATCACTGACACCCACCTTTATATTCTCTATGGCCAGTTTTAGCACATGCAGCACCTACAGTAAATTGTATCTATGAGCAGAAAAAAAAAAGAAATTGAGTACTGAGCGACCACAAACTGCTGATCGCTCAGCTCACGGCTTCTCCTTTCAGAGAGTGGTGATTGTCGGTCACTGCCCCCTTATGGATTACCCCCTTCCTCTTTGTTCCTCCATTGCTCATTGAAAGGGGAAAAAAGTGAGGCAGAGTCAGCTCTCAGGCAGCTGGGTGGATCCCGACCCAATATTTTCAGGACCTTTTCCTGCTGGAGTGGCAGTAGCCTGCTATATGCTGAGTTTGGGTAACAGAAATACATTAGTAATTGTACTCCTGTGACCCAAAAGAGAACTAAAACCAAGAAAAAGGTTTGGCTTTAGTACTCATTTAAGAAATTATTCCCGATGACTCTGCCAGAAATCCAGCTCTCTTTGCACTTTCTTAGAATGGCAACGCTGGCACCGTGGCCTTAATCAGTAACCAGTGCTGTTACCCTTGCATCTACAATGCTCAGCTGTACTACAGAAGTACAATACGGTGTAGCCTAGGTCATCACGTCTCCTTGGCTCAGTTTACAAAACTACTATTCTGTGTCAGAGAGAAGAGAAGTAAAAAGCCTTTTCAGAAAAACAAAACAGAATTTTTAAAAAGGCCATAGTTGCTACACTGTACATTGGGGAAAATGCTTCCAGCGAGAGGTTAGATCTACTTGAATTATGCAACAATTTCTTGTAGGCATTTGCATTTTACTGTGATTTATTTATTTTTAAAAGGAAGTACTTGATAACTATCGTGCTGAAGGATAGCATGCTAGAGGCCTGTACATGATGTATGACTAGATTGGTAGCTTACAGTTGGAAAAATAGTCACCAGAATAAGTGTAAAGTGTTTATTGTAAGAAAGTGAATATAGAGTAAATGGAACATAATACAACATGAAACAGGGTAACACACCAAGAAATCAAACAGTAACCAATAAAAACACAATGGATCAAACCTAGACTGCAGAGAATAACAGGAATACAATGGGGAGAGTCCAGGAATAGGGCTATACTATGAATCACAGGGAGACTTGGTGCTAGCAGAGTATGGCAGGGCTGGGGCCTGGCATAACCGGAAACATATGGGAAGCAGAGTACTGTGTTTGGTTGTCTGGCTGAGGGAGAGCTAGCATTCAGGCCTGTGTCAGCAGGCTTTGTCCTTGTGTCAATAACATCAGTTTGACACGCTTTTGAGATCATTCAGAATTCATTGACTAGTGCATTTGACCTGCAGTTGATCAATGTCCTGCATTTAACATGCTTCAAGAGGTTTTTTCATTCCCATCGACTAATATGGGGGAATGCAAAACCAGTTTGAGGCGAACAAAAGCCCGTCAACACAGGCCCATAAGAAGCCTCTCAGCACAGGTGGCAACACATAGAACTGCTGCTGGCAATCAGAAGCACATGCTGACAGACTACGTGGTTGCTACCTGTTCATTATTTCCCATAACCCATAGTTATTTTAAATTTGCTTTTACCCTCAAATTCTTTTTTTTTTTTCACCCAACAAAGATTACATTTCCAAAGAAGCAATTATGAAACAGTTGCACTGGAATAGTAAATTATAAAATATTATAATAACACAAATATTAATTGTCAAGACATTGTAATGCTGCCTGGGCCCTATTACCTATAGTTGTCCAGTTACTTCAGGTCTTTTGTCAATTTAGAGTTGAACTCTAGACCGCTAAATACACAGTTGGACTATATGTAATGCATATGAACTGTTCTATCTGCTTTATTCGTGATTCTGTTCAGCCACTTTTGTTACTGACCCATCGTCAACGTCAGTGTAATTCTGCATAGTTGGGTGGTTGACTTTACTTTTTCTATTACAGTTAAAGCTCAATGCTGTAGAAAATGTAAATCTTCCCTGCAGTGGGGCTTCATGGGTAAAGGGTTAGAGGTCTAGGCTGCTATTTATCATTTTTAGCAGATTTTTTTTTGTTTTTGTTCCTTATCCTATGCTCCTGCAGGCTTCCTTCTTTCCATGTGACGAGTCGCTAAAAAGTCGCTTCTTTTCAGCACTGTCATTTGAGGCACTCTGCTGTCATCACGTACAATGCAGGACCAGCAGTCCTGCATTGTAAGTGGGGGGGGGGGTAGAAGGATACAGCAAGTAATACTGCTTTTTAATAATATTCTAGACTAAAACAAGCATTTATCCCTTGCAGTGCAGAAGGAGCCCCACTGCAAGGGAGTTTGAGTTGACGCTCCATCACCTTCATGCCACCAGTGTGCTGATTGGACAATGAGGAAGCAATGGCACACTAATTAGATTGTGGGGGCCCCTTTTGTCCTCGCGTACAATGCAGGACTATTGGCCCTGCATGGTACTTGATTATATCAATATGCGACCACCGTCCAGTGCGTCTTAGAGAAAAGATGCACTGCAATGGTAATTATGTTTTCTTTTGCTGCAATAAGGCTTTAAAAACATTGAGTAATAGGCCACGGCAGCATATATATACCTATCCTATGTGCATGTGTATAGATATGGAATGTAATTGCATACAAAGGTACTGTGCTGATGTTCGGACTTGCTTGCCCTTTGTATTTATGTATTGAAAACTGAAATAAACCCTTATTATTTAAAAACATTTTGAAGTCAAAGAACAAAGATTACCTCAGAAAACTTTTGCTCATTTACTATCCAATCACAGCCTTTACCAAAATGTGCTGTGCTGGCTGCAATTCAGCAGTGTAGACCTACAGAAAGAAATCTAGAAAACGTATCGCACACCAACCTGCAACCCTAGTGGTAGCAGATTGTGTCCCTCTACTAGCTGCCGATCCTTCTACAGAAACAGAAAAGGCATTGTGTGTTGTTCCATCTTCCACAAGGGATCTCCTGCTTCCCTTCACAGAGATGTCAAGACAATTGATGTCTGTTTCGTTTGCATGTTGTCAGGATAAAACCTGTATTTCACAGTGGCTTTAGTCACTTTCCCATGACCAATTGGGTAGATCACAGGGAGAGTCTGTTTGGTCGCAATGAACTTGGGTGGGGAAATGTCTCTTCAAACAGGTCAGATTTTCACATGTCCCCTGTGTGTGTTTTTTCCAGTTATTTCCTCTTTCTTTGTAGCATTTGGTTTATAGCTGTGCAGACCTTTGTCCTCAGCTCTGCTGGATGAAAATAAATCCTATTGCGCGTAGTATACTTAATGTGAACTTTCCACTTAATGTGTTTTTACTGTTGCATGGTGCCTCCAAGTTAAACAGCTGTACCACTGCAGGGTAGATACATACAGGAAAGGTAGGTTGTTCGGAGGCCATGAGAACAGAGATATATTGATTTATATCTGGGGAAGTGGAATTTTTTCATCCAGAAACATTGTCTTACCAGTCCCTAAGCCATTTTAATAAAGTGATGGAAGATCCATCACAAGTGACAATGAGTTGTTTCTTTACATGGACTTTTATTGCTGTAATGGTTCCTATGATTGTTAGTTAGCACCTTTTTTGTGGATACACCTACATTAGCTGCAGTGTGCAGTATATCTTCACCTTTTACTGTGTCCTGTGCATTAAGAAGTCTTATGTTTTTAGTATAGCGAGTGCTATGGCCTTTGTCCTCAGAGTTCTAGGCAAAATCATGGTTCACCTAAAAAAAAAAAAAACTTCAAGGATACATGCAGCAAGGTGGTGACTATTTGGGAACTATTTTGCATGTATAAATGTATATGTCTATCTCGATTATATCCTAAAGGGATTTTTAATCTGATTTTAATTTTGTTTTAGTGTACATGGTAAATTTTCCAAGTGGTTATAATAAAGCTCACCAATAGAGGGAGCTCTGTTTACTAGTATCATTAGAATTTGTGTGTTTCCTGAACTGAAGAGACAGTTTTATTCTCTTTGTATTTATTACTTTTTAAATAGTGCTTGACATTGTGTGCACCCATGCGTGCAATATCCGGAATGTTTTGAACACCTGAAGTTATGACCTTTTTATTCTATATAATGAGGATTAGATATAACGCAAGGGAAACCTAGTTAAATCTTACCAGTTAGTGTAAAATAACAAGTGTGTTATTTCTTTCCATTATGACTTGTAAAAATATTTCCTTCTAATCAGAGGATGGGATGAATTTAGTGTGATTACAGGAAGCATAGTGTGCAGTTTGAATTGAATGCTCATTATACATCACATTGGCCAACATCACATTGATGATGTACCGTGTTTCCCCAAAAATAAGACACTGTCTTATATTTTTTTTGGCTCAAAAAAACACATTGTGAGGGGAATTTATCAAAACTGGAGCAGAGAAATTCTGGAGCAGTTGCCCATGACAACCAATCAGCTTCCACCATTCATCTTCAAACCTTAACTGAACAAACTGAAGAGAGAAGCTGATTGGTTGCCATAGGCAACTGCTTCAGATTTTCTCTGCTCCAGTTTTGATAAATTCCCCCCTAGGTCTTTTTTTCAGGGTAGATCTTATTTTTTTTTTTTTTAATGTACAACAATCCACACTTATTCATGAAGAAAAGTCTACATGTACACAAATATGGTGATCAGGGCAATCTGTTTACCAATCGCTGGCCAGAATGAGCAAAGCATGCTTTCACTATCGATTCCTCACAGGCGGAGTGCATTTGGTATCACTCCGCCTGTGACAGGAGACGGCGCTATAGAGGATGCATCGGCTTATGCGGATCTGCTCCCTTTGGTGCCGCCTCGC